CAAATTAAACTACCAGGACTGAATCCTTCTAACTAGACCAAGCTAAGCAAGCCATCAAAGCCCATGAGCATTGCTGCAAAATACTTATAACGGCTCATTACCTCGAACACATACCCAGAATTGATCATATCCTTACCATACCGATTCGGTCTACTATCAAACCATTCCATCTAACTAAATTTCCTTCTGATTCTTTTTGTTTTTCAACTTGATGCTCCCTCTTGCTGTAGTACCACAATCTCTCAATCCGAGGCTCACTACATGAGACCCAAGCACAAGACCACACTGTCTAGGACCCATAAGCCACTGAATACTCTCTCAAATATCACCAAAAACATCACGCTCCCGAATATTTTAATCTGAAGAACTTCCTGCGAATCCGAATCCGTTACCTTTACTTTCCTGATACTGATACATAGAACCCCATAATTAACAGAGAAATACCACAAATCTGAACCTCTTCCAATGCAAACACAATTTCTAACCACACATGCACTTTAAAATACCTGATTGTTTCCTGCAAAATCTTGAACATATTAGAACCATTCTCGAAAGTCATTCACTCTTATTCAAACTACAACTTACCTGACCTAACGAACAGAACCACCCGTGCCTCATTGGCACTACGATACCGCAAAAATGAAATCCTCATCCTAATACACCCAAGCAACTTACTGCTCTATGTACTGAGCATCCTCTACCAACAACAACTTAAGACATCCTGTGATTCCCTTACCCTATGAAGCATAATATAACCTTCGTCAACATCCTCGGTCTCCATTCCCACAAGTCATAACTGATTCACCCGCACGCCTTAACTGGAACCAGCATAGCACCTAACCGTGCAATCGACTACTCACAGTAGACTCCTCCACTTGGCTCGAAGCCACAGATCAAAATACCCTCAATAACTCATAACACTTTTACTCTATTGATGCCACAGTGTCATAGTGAAATTAAACTCAAATCATTTATAAGTTTGTGAAAACACACATCATCTAGTACTGTAAATCTTCTACAAACCTCTCATTCATCCCCGCAAAGTTAAGCCCACTCTCTTAAACGACCCGAAATTTTAAATTTCAACACGTACCCTTCAATTACACATGAGACCTTCTAACATACACATAAGGATCACACCACTTCAGAACACTCCGCAGGAGATAACCCACCTGTTTTGCCTCACTATAACATCTCTGTATACCTTCCACCGCCATACACATTACACAGCCACTTAGTCTTCTTGAGTCTAAACTCGTACCGCAACATAAAACTTACTTCACTCTCGACTGGAAACATGAAAAGATTCTTCACGATCCCATAACTCGGAGCTACACATCCAATCACAATGGAATCATACACTTAATAGTTCATTTATCATCCCGCAGGCCTTCCTCGTCACTTCCAAGTTACATAGATACATCCCGCAATACTAACATACTCATCACATAGCTATTCAACCATCACTTCCCTTAATAGGGACACTGCCGAACATATAAGTTCAAAACACTTACTCACACAATCAGCACCTCAGTGCTCAAGCCATAGGCAAAGATCCGGCCTCAAGTCCCCCAGACTGGCCCAACATCGAACTCATAGAGATCACGTATCGCCCCTTGATCTGGGAATCACAAGCCATCAAGGCACATTTGATACTGAGCGCTCATGCGCGCATACAAACGCGTGGAAGGAATGTCAAGAGTTTCTTTTTAAGCTGAATCAAGGACGCACGATAAGAATTCAAGAATATGACGTTTTCCTAAAGGTTCTGCAGCCTCTCGAGGATAAATACAGACGTCTTCGTACCGATCCGCGAGATTCTACTAAACCTGCTCATGACTCGTGAGACCTAGTAACCTAGGCTCTGATACCAACTTGTCACGACCCAATTCCCATAACCGATCGTGATGACACCTCTCGTGAAGACAAGGATAGCCAGAACAACGCAACACCTCTTTCGAAGCATTTAATTAATATTACCAATTCTAGCACATGCTTAATATAGTCAATAATGCGGAAACAGCGATAAAATTGAAGGAACCCATCCCGACACAGCCCAAACCGGGGTGTCACAAGTCATGAGCATCTATAAGAATGTAATTACATTTGCAAGTCTAGAAATACACTGAACATGAATAATGAATAACATAGAAAGAAAAGGGTGCTACGAACGCTGGCAGTCACCTCGCTAAACTACCACAGCTCTGCCTCCAAACAGCCAATACCCGCTACCGGGTGAATAAATACCTGCAACTGCACACGAGGTGCAGGGAGTAAAGTGAGTACTCCAACTCAGTGAGTAATAAAGGTAAATAACAACTGAGCAGTAAGAAATCACGTAAAGCAACCATCATGATGTACAGAAGCAGGGTACAATCCTTTGAGAAAAACAGTAAGGCTGTGAAATCTTTGGAAATATCTTGGCTTAGTTTAAAGCTCTTTTTAAAATGATCTTTTCAACAGTTACGAAAACGTTTTCAAAACAGTTAGTGCTGATAAGCACAGAAAAATCCGCCCCTCGGGCACTAATACCACAGTATAACAGGTAAAAAGGCAAATAAATATGCAAGATACGCACATATAAGTTCGCCCCTCGGGCAATATCTCAAAACAATACCAGCCCCTCGGGCTCACTCTTAGAAACACTCTCAGCCCCTCGGGCTCTCTCTCTCTCTCTCTCAGATCACTCTCAGAACAGTATCATATAGTAACCGCAGCGGCGCGCAGCCCGATCCATATCTCACTCGGCGTGCAGCCCGATCCATATGGGTACCAGCGCTCACTGTGGGTGTGCAGACTCCGGAGGGACCCCTTACGGCCCAAGCGCAATATCAAGCCACCTCGTGGCATATAAAACAAGGCCTGAATACCTTCTCACATCACACTCGAGACCTGAAAGCCTCCTCACAATACACTTGAGGCCTGAAAGCCTCATCACATAACACTCGAGGCCTGAAAGCCTCCTCACATCACTCACATATATCCTCACATATGGCCCTCGGCCCCACTCAGTCCAGAAAACATCATAAGCCCCTCGGGCATCAATAAAATAGTAGTGCTCAGCCCAAACAACAGNAATATAGCACTGCGATGTGCAAGTCCGGGGTTTCAAACCCTCTGGATATCATTTACAATCATTACTCACCTCGAACCGGTCCAAACTCTAGCCCGCGATGCCTCGCCCGCATGAATCGACCTCCGGATGCTCCAAATCTAGCCTCAATCAGTACATAATCATTAAAATATGCTAAGGGAGCAAAGCCCACTCGAAAGTATCCAAGTTAACATCAAAATCCCGAAATTGCTCAAACCCGGCCCCCGGGCCCACGCTTCGGAATTCGACGAAACTCACAAAATCCGACAACCCATTCAACCACGAGTCCAACCATACCAAAATTACTAAATTACGATAACAATTCGGCCTCCAAATCTTCAAATCTTATTTTCAAATCCCTAGGTCCAAATCCCCAATTTACACCTCAAAAACATATAATCTAGTCGGATTATTCGATGATAATTCAATATTATGGAGTAGAAATGATCACAAGTGACTTACCTCAAGATTTCCCATGATTTCTTGCTCAAAAATCACCCCAAGACGTGTTCTTTCACAAAAAAAACGTCAAAATGAGCCAAAAAAAAACAGAACAGCACTAATACACCCGAATCTGGTCGCTAAAAGTGCCAAATCTGGTCGCTAAAAGGTGCACACCAGATCTGATGCACCAGCAATCTTTAATTTTACTAAAAAGGCTCTAACTCCATCATACAAACTCGGAATTCGATGATTCTTGTTCCTATGAGTCACAAATAATAGTACGAACATAGCCCTTCAATTGAAACTCAATTCGGAGCTCATTTGCTCAGTGTGATACCTATTTCGCTCGTTAAATAATTAACTCATGTTTCGCGTCAAAAACCCAATCGCGACTTGATGAAATTAAACCAAACTTTCCAGATCACTCCTATAATTCATTGCCAAAATTCGGGAAGTCTCGAAATCAAATTTCGATCTCTAGAACTAAAAATGGACCTTTGGATCATTACATGCTTATGCTCAAAACGGCAAAATCTTCCAAAAACTCCTCCAAAACTTATTCGAGCCTCATGGGACCCCGACCAAACATGCCAACACACCCCATAACATCATTCAAACTTGTTCCAACCTTCGGAACGCTCAAAACAACATCAAAACATCGAATCACCCTCGGATTCAAGCCTAAGAATTCCAAAACTTCCAAATTACTCTTTCGATCAAAAACCCGACCAAACGACGTCCGAATGATCTGAAATTTTGCACACACATCACAAATGAAATAACGAAGCTACATCAACTCTCGGAATTCCATTCCGAACCTCGGATCAAAATCTCACCTATCAACCGGAATTCGCCAAATTACTAACTTCGCTAATTCAAGCCTAATTCTACACCGGACTTCAAAAACCAATTCCGATCACGCTCCTAAGTCAAAATCACCTAACGAAGCTAACCAAATCATAAAAACTCCGATCCAAGCTCATATAAAATAAGTCAACTCTTGGTCAAACCTTTCAAATTCAAAGCTTTCAACTGAAACTGTTCTTTCAAATTCATTCCAAATTTTCCTAAGAACCAAAACCAACAATCTACATTAGTCATAATACATAACATGGGGCAAGTCATGCCCGAAAACTGGCGATCAAAGTGCAAAAGCTCAAAATGACCGATAGGGTCGTTGCAATGTTCCTCAACCTCACCCACACCCACAGAACCTCAACATGGAAGTCCCTATGGAGAATATCAACCTCAACCCCCCAGTGGCTCCAAACGTAGAAAATCACATGGAAGAGGAAATGATAGAGCCAATAGATTTGATAGGAGAATCAGTGGTGGAGTTGGGAAACCTAAGCGAGGTAAAGGTCTTTTTATTCAAAGAAAATCAAGAGAAGAAGTATATCCTCTCTTGCCCACAGAATCTTTTCAAGTGTTCAATGTATATTCGCCCACCCACGATCCAACAATGGGGAACAGGGCAATGATCCTTGTACCAACACTGAGGGGGAACTCGAACCCTACCAGGGAAATACTAGAGAATGGTCACAACCCAACCCCAAATGTCAACATGTTTAATCCTACAAATTTTATAATATGGAATATTAGGGGAGGAAATAATGAGGACTTTAGAAGAAACTTCAGGGATCTCATTGACACACACAGGCCATGCATGGTAACACTGCTTGAGACTAGAATGCAATCCCATGCACCACTTCTACACGAGTTTGGATTTTCTGAACTCATTGAGGTACCAGCAGATGGACAAGCTGGAGGCATGGTGCTTCTTTGGGACCATACCAAGGTGACTGTCCAGAATGCTGTGCGTAGAAACCATGGAATACATGCAACAATTGAGGTTCATCCTACTAACCTTAAATGGCTTTTTTCATCTTTATATGCTAGCACTAATACTGTAGATAGAGATATTATGTGTAATAACCTGAAAAATATAGCTGACTCTCATAAGGACTCATGGCTAGTAGGAGGGGATATTAATGATGTGTTTAGTGCTGATGACAAAATTGGTGGGAGACCCCTTAATCGTAGACGTGATTTTAAGCTCTGGGATAATTTGAATAACTATAAACTTCAAGATTTAGGCTATAAATGATGCAAATATACTTGGTCTAATTGTAGGTTTAGTAATAATGACCTAATCTTGGAACGTTTGGATAGGATTTTTGGTAATAATGAATGGATTCAATGTTTTCCAAATGCTTCTATTACTCATCTACCAAAGACCCACTCTGATCACAACCCCCTTCTTATTAATCTTATCCCTAAAAAGAGTCGTTTACTTGATAAACCATTCCGACTAGAACCATACTGGTGCAAACACCCTCACTTTAAGACATTAGTTAGAGACTCTTGGTGTAACAACTCTTACAATCAAGCTTTGTCAACCTCTAAGATGTTGTCATTAGTTGGAAAAATATTACCTTTGGAGACCTTTTCAAAAATAAGAGAATCATTCTTGCAAGACTTAAAGGTATCCAAAACTCCCCTTCCTACTATCATAGTAAATTTCTTCAATCCTTAGAACACTCGTTAATTCAAGATTATAACAACATTCTTCGTATTGAGGAAGATTACTTGAAGCTTCGCTCTAGAATTCAAACGAAGGCGACGCTAACACAAAATTCTTCCATATTGTGGCTATCAATAGGAAAAGAATTAACAAGATTAATTTCTTCAAAAATGACCTAGGAATGTGAATTGATAATCCTGAAGATATTATTAACCACACAAAAGACTATTTTGAAAAAGCCTTCACATCTTCTCATATCTGTAGCAATTGGAGACATATTAAAAATGACCCTAGGTGTTTTATTAACTTAGATTTATCCTCCCTTGACGACCCCGTCACTCACTCTGAAATTACAAAAGTCTGTTTCTCCTTTAAACCCTATAAGGCACCCGGGCTTGATGGTCTTCACCCCTTTTTCTTCCAAAACTATTGGAATGTTGTTGGAAATTCTGTCACTAGTCTATGCCAAGAAGTTTTCAAGACTGGCACTATCCCTGGAAATATTAACGATACTTTGCTGTGCCTAATTCCTAAATTCCCTAATGCAAATAACTTAAAAAATTTTAGACTTATAGGGCTTTGTAATACTGTCTATAAAATAATTACTAAGGTCATCTCAACCAGACTGAAATCCTTTCTTAATAATTTAATTAGCCCTTCCCAAAGTAGCTTTCTAAAAAATAGGAAAGCCAGTGATAATGCCATTATCATTCAAGAATTAATTCTTAAAATGAATAAATATCATGGTTATAAACACAACATGATTTTAAGAATTGACTTGGAAAAAGCTTTCGATCATTTAGAATGGTCCTTTGTCTATAGAGCTTTAAGATTTTTCAAATTTCCTCCTAATATTACAAAGCTTATAATGAACTGTGTCTCTTCCAGTAGAATATCCATCTTGGTTAATGGCACAAGAACTAGTTATTTTTTACCAAGTAGAGGTATTCGCCAAGGTCATCCTATGTCTCCATATCTTTTTATCCTTTGTATGGAGATGCTCTCTACCCTCATCAACCATAAAGTTGATCTAGGCTGTTGGGATCCCATTACAATTGGCAACAATAAGCACCATATATCTCATCTATTTTTTGCAGATGACCTAACCCTAATGGCAAAAATTAATGATAAATCTATTGAAGCCATTAATGACTGTCTCAATTCCTTCTGTCACCTATCAGGGCAATCCATTAACAAGGAAAAGTCCAAAATCATTATATCCAAACACTGCCCTAAGCCTACACAAGCTACCCTCTCACAAATCCTTAATATCAAAGTTAGTAATTCTTTCGGAAAATACTTAGGTTTTCCCATTACAAACTCCAAACCCAGGGCCAAAGATTTTCAATTTGTCCTTGACAACATGATTTCTAGACTCAGTACATGGAAATCAAATTTACTAAGCATGGCCGGTAGATGTACCTTAGCAACCTCCTGTCTAAACTCTCTTCCAAATCACCTAATACAATATACCCTTCTACCGGCTAAGATTCTAAGTAAAATCGACAAGATCCAACGAGATTTTATATGGGGTACTAATGGAACCTCAAAAAAACTTTATCTCATTAAATGGGATAATATCACTCAAAACAAAAAGGATGGTGGGTTAGGTATTCATGCTGCAAAAAAGAAAAACCTAGTAAGCCTAGATAACCTAACTTGGAGACTCCTCCAAAATACTCAATCCCCTTGGGCTAAAACAATACTAGGTCTATATGGTACAAGGAAAACACTGAAAAATAATTCCTTTATATGGAATGGTATTGTTCTAGGCTGGGAAATATGTAGCAAAGGGATTACTTGGCTGCCTCATAAGTCCTCAACCTTGAGTGTGTGGAATAATTGTTGGATTCCCAAATTCAACTCTCTCCGTCAATATATTCAGGGTCCTTTAACCCTCCAGGATGAAGCTCTTACCATAAAGGATATATGGAAACAAAATACTTGGGAGTTATCTCATCTTTCAATGACCCTAGAACCCAGAATCATCAAAAAGATAAATGCTACTCAACTCACAAACAAATCCCACGATACTCCAGTTTGGGCATTGAACCCCAATGGTCTTTTCACTAGTAAATCTTGCTACACCCTTTTAGAAAATCAGTTTGATTGCTACAAGGATTACACGTGGATTTGGAAAACAAATTGTCCAAACAAGATAAAATTTCTATTGTGGAAAATCTACCATAATAGACTACAAACAAGAAGCTTCTTAAACCATATTGGCATTAACATAGATCCTATATGTTCTACTTGTAAAACTGATAAGGAAACTATTAATCATATTTTTTTGGAATGCATGGCAGTCCGACAACTATGGTCACACTTAGGAATTGATCCCAAAATTCGGAATGGTGCTATAGATTGGCTAAGTCATATTCGTGATCACAACTCATCTTTTATAAACCCTATTATCACTTGGCATGACCGATTTTCCTTTGTCATTTGGACTATTTGGACTAACAGAAACAACAATTTATAAAATAACTACACGCATTTGGCTAGCCTTCAATGTGCTATTAAATTATCAGTAGAGTTCAAGCTTTTAACTGGAAAAGAAAATATTAGGCCGGAAAAAATTCCTATAAACGTTAACTGGAATAAACCCCCTAGAGGTCTCATCAAACATAATATTGATGGTTCCTTCAATGACGACCGATCACTCTAGGGTTTTGGTGGGGTGTTCAGACGCTACTATGGCCAATGGATAGTTGGCTTTCATGGGAAATCCCCAGGAACATCTGCACTTCAGGCGAAATTAATGGCCCTGAATATTGGCCTGAAAACTGCCATTAGGCAAGGATTTACAAGATTAGAAATAGAAATAGACTCAACCGCTGTTATTAATTGTTTGGAGAATGGAATGATATTACTTAATGATATTATTAATGAGTGCAGGTTGTTAATGGGGCAAGTGAAGGTCCAGGGAATGCATCACATCTTCAGGGAGGCCAACAAGCCAGCACACATGCTGGCTAAAGAAGGACTGAATGACAACAACAACAACAACAGCGATACTAATGTCATCTACTATGCTCCGTATTTTGCAACCAATATCTTGAAATCAGACTATGAAGGAAAGACTTATGCAATTAGGTTCCTTAACAAGGATGTTTGCTCTAGGCTAGCAGCTTTTGGTAACAAAAATATCCTAAGAGACATGTTATTGGTTTGTAATGGCCACGTAGGTAATGCCCCTCTGGGAAATATGAACAACACTATGTCTACTATTTCGTGATATATATATATATATATATAAAATATCCCTGTTTGTCAAAAAAAAAGTTCTCATTTTCTTTTATTTCATTATTAGGTTTGTACCCGGCAACTCTTTCTTAACTTCTTATCAAGATGTTGTCCAAATTTACCTCTTTGTTTGTAGTTTGATGTATCTCAAAATAATTATAGATCTTTTCTTACTATGTTTTATCTTATTCATCTTGAAAACTATTACATAACTCTACTCCCTTTGACATGACATCTATACCGTGGGAAATTCATCAAGATTCCTCTTTCATAATGGGCAAGTAAAGATGATGATGATGAGGTTACTCATAAATCTCTCACGATTATGCAAAAACTGATTGAAGATGATCCGGATGAGAAACAAAGTCTACTCTATATACCTAAATCTGAAATTAGGCAATTAGTTCTAAGTAATTATCTCCTCATTCTTGGATTATAGTATTACAGAGGGATTGTGGAATGGATTCATCAATGTAATAAAGCTTTGGATGATAAAGGATTATGCTAACGAGAAAGGTCAATATGCTAAACTATGGAATGAATGAGGCGAGGTCATAAAGCTTGCAATCATAAAGTCTGAGCCTAATAGGAACCAAGTTGCCAGATTTCTTCGATTTGAGAGGTATTATTATACTTGATTAAAATAGAAAAATAATGACTGATTTTCTTACTTAAATGTAAATATTTGCAGTACAAAATCAAATGGTTAGCTGATTTTACTTGACAAATACATATCAAGGATGATATCATGCAAAGAGAGCATATTTTACAAAAGTGACAATAAAGAGCAGTTGTAGAAGTCTCCCTTTCTTGTTGCTCTATCTCTTAAAAATAATCCAACAGTGGTATCAGCGCCTAATGAGTCTTATAGGATCTATGAGTTCATTAATAGAATAATTTTCAATTCCAATTAGAGATAGAAAGTGGTAGGGAATTAGATAATCTCCCTTTCTTGAGATGCTTAAAAAAAAGACTACGAGGTATAACTTCTTGTTGGGTATATTTTACAATAGGTCTTGAATAAAATGACTAAAATTCATTCTTGTTTCACATTTTCTGGGTCATAGACTTCAAAGATATGAATATGTGATGCAATATTTGGGAGAATATAAGGACAAGAAATTTTATGATGTGTTAGAAAGTATACGTGGGCCTGGTCCGGGCTTCTGGGCTGGTTCTCTACTTTGGGACCGCTAGGACCTGGGCCGTTGGGATCGGGACCGGACCGGTCCCTAGCGGGCCAAACGGTCCCAACGGTTAAAAAATTTTAAAAAAAAAAATCTGCCCATTTGGGCAAAATGGTCGTTGGTTTGCCAAAATAGTCGTTGGCTATTTAC